TTGCTGTGAGTGGGGGGCGGGGGGGGGGGGAGCAAAAAATCAAGAGGATGAACAAGATGATTGTTCAGGGAATAGATGCAGAGTGGGGACACAAAGAAAGCAATGCTTACAAATGGGAGCCACTACCAGAAACCATCCTTCTTAGGCATGGCAGAGGGGCCCATCCCAGGAGAAAGTCTTATCACCACGGCAGAACTCCAATGAGTATCTAACCAGGTCAGTGGGTAAAGGCACAGCCATAATCTGGAATAGAACACCCCACTGGTGACCTCACCAGCTTCACAAAAACAATACAAAACAAGTTGATGACTCCAACCCTGTGCCTCCCCATGCCTCCATGGTAGCCCCACCCTCTGAGCAGCAGAATCCTAAGAAAGCACTCTGCACCCATCTTCCCACACCAGTTTCCCAGACCCCTTCATCATACATGGACCCCTTCAGCCTACGATCATTTGATTTTTGGTCTCAAATGGCAAAGTGCACTTGGTCATCGGCCACAAATACCCAATGTCCCTCTACCCTTTTCTTTTCAAGGTTTCTCAGATGCTGAGGACCCCGGGCTGCCTTGGATGCTGCTGCTTCGGCACTGCTAGAATGGCTGGTGATGCTCTCTCTGCTTCACAGCCTTTATGTTAATGCAAATCAACTTCAAGCCTGGAACTAGGCTTGAAACAACCTAACAACCATCATCAGCTCTTCTCCGCCTTCCTCCCCATCTGGTCCCACTACCCTCAGAGAAGTGTAGGTTCTGGGTAATCAAGGCACCTGGCACAGTGCACCAGAGGCACACGGTAGGCACTGAAAATGTCCATGCCTGTTAGGCTAGCAGAGCAGCTTTGGTATGGCAGGCCCAGGCAGAAAGGTAAAAATCTGCTTATAGAGGCAAAAAGGTACTGCTCACAAAAGAAGGTCAGAACGTCCTCTGCCTAGCAAGCCTTCCACAGTGACATCTATAGAAATAAAATGTTCGGGTGCTGCTGACTCATCCATTTCAGCGGCTGAATTGGGTGTTCCAATTTGAGCCCACAAGGTGCTTTTTAATCTTCACATTTTTAAAAAATCTGAGGATGTTTTTAAACATCCACTTATTTAGTTGATGAGTGATTTAAAAACTCTTCCAAAGATGCAGAGCAAACAGCTTGTCTTTGTAGTAAATGTATTTGAAATTTGCAAAAGATAAAATCCTATGGGGAAAAACATCTGTCCAAGAATGAAAAGGATTCCCTCGATTTACAATATGGAGTTTGTAATACTAATGTCCATCATTTTCGTTTTCTGTTCCCTTGTTGTCTGCCAAGAAACTATGAAGGGGGGGGGCACTGCTCAAAGTGGGAAAAACACACAGACTTTAACACGTAGGAAAGGTCAGGCAGAACCCAAAGCCATGTCCAGTCCTGTATGATCCTGAAAGTCCAAATTGTGGACTTTCCAGTCGACAGCAATGACAAGTTAGCAATTCAAGGCATTTCTTGACATACAATACAATGACACCATCTTGAAATAACATTTGCCACCTAAAAGTACACATGTCAAAAAAAAAAGTAATCCTTAAGAAAAACAACCTTGAGGGGAGGGGTGCCAAGAGTCCCCACCTTGGAGATACAACAGAGGCAATAA